AAGATTACACACGGATTTTTAGATATTGTAGAAATTATAAGTCACGTGCTTACCTCCGTCGCCCATATATCTCATGCGTATGTCACAGTTTCCAAATATGGCATTCACTATCGGACACAACGGTCTATCGAGTTGCTGAGGAAGCTGAGTAAAGGCAACTCCGAGGTGGACGTCGTTAGCAGCAAAGCTGTTTTATCAAATGAAATCGAGGTATTAAAATATATAATATTGCTAAGAAAGGACCCTTGGAAATGAATTCGGACAAATTAGTTTCCCACCCGGCTCTCTGGGATTTSTGCTATYTGTGCTCAACAAGCTTCTGAGCTACAAGGACAGACTCTGATCAGGGCGCGTTGTTTTATCAAATAAAGCCAGTTGGAATGATTGGATCTTTTTTTACCATACTATTTTCTTAATTTTTTCCGTTTCAAGCATTTGAGTAAATGGATGGGCCGAGCTAAATTATATAGGACTCACGTAAAACGCATGATATACCGCTAGATGCATAAAATCCGAAGTGACAAGTATGAGAAACATCGTTACATACACTCAGCGTGTAAATTAACTTAGCCCTACTTATCTAAGAGTGTCAGGAGGAGGCTTTAGCTAGAGCAGGCTGTATTATATTTTGGTTCATCTTAACATAGAATGATAAAAATTCGACTTTCATTTTTACCTAAGGGTTCTCTCGTCCATGTCCAGTATAACAAAGAATATGTCAGGGACCTGAAATCCAAACGGACCTAAAGCTTGAGGGTAAACACCCCTTTCTCCTGCATGGAACAATTTTTTACTGACTATATCCCAGCCCCATGACTCAGTGTTGGTGCCAACGACTGGCTCGTAACCTATTGTACCCAAAGGTGCTTTAGGCGTAGCAATACCCACGATAGCAAATGACCCTCGYTCGTCTTTCTCCCACTGTATTTCCCAGACGTGACGGCCTTGTCTATATCCTTTCTTGCCTGTTAGTTAAAAAAAAAACCAAGTTAACGTTCAGGTAGCGTATCAAGCTAGCGATAACTGAATAACATAACACCAATGCGAGTACGTCCCAATCATAAGCGGTGGCTTATTGCGCGACACACAATAATATTATGCGTAAAATCGTTGCGTAACAGCAAAGAAGGCGTGCGAAGTCGGGTTATGCATAACCTAGCGCTAAGTGGCTTCTAGTGTTGGTTTAGCTTTGCTTAAATATTTCATTTAATCACATGTAAATGTTAAATGCACTGAAAATGAATATGCTCACCGAGCTCAAAGAGTCGAAAATAATTAAGTTTTACGTAAGAATTAAGTTATAAATCATTTGTAAAAAGAAGCCAAATAATACTCGGTATAAACTATACTGCTGCAAAATACAAAATCAAGCGCAAAGAATTAAGAGGCTGTCTCTGTAATAACCTCAGGACCAATTTTGACCACATCACGGATTTCTTCCAAACTTTATGCGTAGAAACCYCACCCCATGGGTAGTACYAAAATGCATTTTATTTGGAATGTCGACGTAATTAAGCTTTGTTTCAGGGGGGTGAACTCTAGGGCCAAAATAGGGCAATTTTGACATGACATCTCGATAATGAAATTTTAATGAACTTTGGAGCTTTGTATCTCATCAATGAATACACATAAAACTAAATCCTTCTGCATGCTATTAGATACTCATCTTAACAAGAACTAGCCGTTTTAAAAGTCTCGAAAAAGAATGTTTTATTGGGAGAACGTTTTAGCAATTGTAATGCTAATTTTGGCATTTCGTCAAAGGCAAAATTATTACCCACTTTAAAAATTCTAAACTCAAAAGTAGATAGCTCCACGATCGTACGTTTTTTATGGTGGCATAAGCAAACATTAATCTTTTAGAAAATGTAAAAATTTTTTGCGGCCAGCCTGTTGTTGGCACTTAAATAGCTTTTTAACTTGTCGGCATTTTCACGTGTAGAAAAAAAGCTGCTAAGGTTGGATGCCAAATCTTATCTATATATTTTGATTTCTAAGGACATAAATTTCGCTTTGACATAAGTTACCATAAGTTACGGTGTTTTAAGATGTTGATATGTTAAAAATTTTAAAAACATGTGGCTAAGAAAAGTTTTTTTATCGGATATTTTAAGTAATTTTTATTGCCTAATTCTTATCAGCTAATTGACGCAAATTGTAGCAATTCCAGCAATTGTAGTTTCATAACTAAAGCTGTTTAATGTAAATTGTATGTTCTATCTGTAGTATAAGTAGTGTACTTCATCTCAATAAAAAAGACAAATTGTCTCCTATTTGGTTCGTACTTTTGCACACTTAGGAGTAACCAGGTTATAAATTAGTGGTGATTTTAGCGTTTGTACCTACTGTGATAACGATCTAATGGTTGCAGGAGCATTTTGACAGCTCAACAGAAATCTTTTCAATTGAGAGTCATTTTAACGTCGCGGGACTTAATTTGTATTTCAAGCTCGTTGCAAATTTGCTTCAACATCTTCACGCTGAATTTCTTTAGCTCTTTCCGTTGGAAAATTTCACATAAATTAAAGGTATCGTAGATGATGGGGTGTCGAAGTGCAATGTCATTCAGTATAATGTCTTTCAATTTATCTCTCTCGTCATTTTCCTCCATTTCTATTAACTCCTCTGCATCAAGATCATCATCCTCTTGGTCTATACTTTCTAATTGGTGAAGGCCAGCTTGTTTCCTTCTTGCCGCAGTTACTCTGGAGAAGAAGCTTTTAATCTGTGATTTAGACAACCAATCATCTCTTGTAAATCTTCTTTTTCCATCTGCAAGCATTGCTTTTCTCATTTCTTCCGCAACATTTTTTGGATCGCACTTGTTACCAGTCTTCTCTCCAAGATTATACTTTGCAAGGAGATAGTCTTTAACGTCTTTTGAGAACCGTTTATTAGTTCTTACTTTATGGAGTGCCCAACCTTGAGGCATTGTTGACTGACCAGATACCTGAGTACTTGAGGCCTCTTTCGATACTTTGGACTCTTCGAGGGTTAGTTTAGAAAATCTGGATATCCAATCTAGTTTTAATTNAGAAGCTCCATATCTTTCTAGTTTATCAACAATAGACTCGAGTGTATCAAAAGCATCGGCACCATCAGCAGCCGTGTTGTCAAGTCCCTGAAGAGACTTACGCTGAGAAGATTTCCTTACTTCCAAGATCCTGTAAAGAGTTGACCGACTTAAAGGTTCCAAGTCTTCTTCTTGGCAAAAATTTAGGTACTGTGCAATCATCGTTGATCTAGTAACTGTCCTGACAACTTTTGGCATAGTAAACTGCTCTCCACTTTCTAGTTCCAGTTTGCACACCCCAAATGCAACGTCTTGATAGAAGTATGGCCTATTGATAAAGTCAAGAAAGTGGTCTAACTTTACCTTGTCTATGCGCACTCGGTGTTTGGTAGATCTCTCAAGTGGAAAGCCTGGGCCTTTCGTATCTGCCATTCAGTTATTCTCTCATAGTTTTCATGCATTGAGATGAGAGTTTTTGAAGGGTACCAACTAACATAAATGCTGAGTATCTGTGTTTTGAGGGATTTAGAGGGTGCATTTTTATATGCACACATAAGAGTTTCCATCTCATKGGAGATATAGGGTTTGTCTTCTTTTTCTAGAGTAGCGTATAAGGACTTGAGTAGTTCGTGCTTAGCTCGAGGAGCAATTACCTCGCATAGCATTTCGCAAGCATTCTTGGCTACGGTCACGCATTGGTTTTGTTGTTTTTGTGTTGTTTCGTTCCATGGCAACTTTAACCGTTCCTGTAGAGGCGTGAACTTATCAGAATTTGGCAGCAACGCTGATACAGCTGTGAAACATTCATTTACTGCAGAAACACAGTCTTCATCTTGAGTAGTTTGGCAAGGGGTATCTGGCAGCCATTCCAAGTCTTTAGAGTTTGTTGGGGAAAGAAGGTTAGAGTTTATTGCTTCTTGTGCAGCTTTTTTAGCTGGCCTAAAGAAAGAATCGTACATTCAAATAACTTATCAATTTTATTTACATCACAATCAGTGAGCATTGAGATAATGCAAAAAAAGTAAATACAATGGATAATACAATGTGCATCAATTTTAAAAATTGATAGCATACCTTACCTTTCAGAATGTTCAGAATCAATGGAACATGACATTGCCTCGTTTCGTTCATCTGACACTTTAGCCTGAGCTATTAGCCTTCTGAATTTCTTACGACATGTACAACAGACGGCTATAGAAATAAATACATAAATCAATCAATCAACTGTTCTATAGTCTCAAATCTAACTTGCAGTTAGCAGTGTGCGTGGGTGTGGTTTGTATAGGCACGCGATATTCTTTCCTAGTTATATCTCTCCTGCCAAAAAATAAAACTTCCTTTTTGGTTTAAGGCCACGATTTCTATATCTACACTTGTGTCCTTTGGCTACGCGTTGCTACGCGTCAACGCGTCAAATTCCTAATGTGGGCTACTTGTGTGTTAATATCTCCAATCTCAGGGACCGCGGAGCAGGGGGGGCTGGGGGGCTATAGCCCCCCCAATAATATTTCCGACATTTTGAATTTTCTTAAATAAAGAAGTGAAGAGCCTCCTTATGAATTCTTTGGGATTTTATTGATAATATTGCTGACCGTGTCTGTGGTAAATATGTCTTGGATAACGCCTCAAAACGCTGGAAATGGCATTTCCGAGAGTTAAGATTTCAGAAATTTCCGACCCCCCTAGTACCTCCTCGCCGCTAGCCCCCCCAAACAAGATCCCGCTCCGCGGTCCCTGAATCTGCTTTTTTTTTACCCTTTCTATCTTATGGCATGTTGATCTACAGCAAGTTGCAASAAACGATTAAGAGAATCATTGCACGCCGCGTGGCAATATATTGTTAACTCAAAGCGGAAATCAAAACAAATAACAATATTGATGAGTTTATACTGTAAAAAAAGTGTTTTGTGATAAGGTTTTCGTACAAATCAATGTTTACCTGATCCAATTTGCACAGTTATTCCGTACAGCTTTTGCACCCATCTAGCAAGCTCCAAAGTTATTACATCTCGACCTGTTAGAACTTTAGGAATGCCAGCATGATTTGGCATATTGCAAGATCTTCTACATGGAAGCCAGAATTTACCGAGTGTGTCGATGGTTTGGACATATCCACCAGTTGGATACATTATCTTCCAGTGCATCGAAATGTCCCAATCGTGCAAGTATTAGTTGATATTCTTTCAAGTTGTCTCGAGAGAGGTGATAAGTAGAGAGATGACGTTGAATATCATCAGTGCATTCCGACAATCTACATACAGATGACTGGCCTCTTGATCYTCCACAATTTTTGTCGGTGCAAAAACAAACTTCCATAGTTTTATAGTTTACAAATTGACACAATTTCAGGACTTACAAGCACGTGCATTTGACAGCCGATTTATTTTGCTGGTCAGCGGTAATTAATTTGATGGCGACAAAAATCAAACACAAAGTTTACAGAGCAATATTTTTGCTCTATACCGGCTTCTTGTTCTAAAGCAACGATTGGGAACTATGGTTTGAGCGTCATTTAATGTTCATTTCAAGTTGTCTACCCAAATTTATACCGACGTCTAGCTGTATCAATCCTGACATCAATCAATCGTCAGTCTTGAAATAATAAAATATTTTGTTCGATTAAGACCGCTTTTCAAAGGGAAAGAAAWTATATTTTGCACACATTCCTGTATTCGCTTTCCTATGGCAAGAAGCTGTTTGAACCGTCATTTTGACATTTAAAAAGAATGCTTTGTAATTGTTGTTTTTTATTAAATCGATCGATTGAAAGATAAAAAATTACTTGAAATATCCGATAAAAAAACTTTTCTTAGCCACATGTTTTTAAACTTTTTAACATATCAACATCTTAAAACACCGTAACTTATGGTAACTTATGTCAAAGAGAAACTTATGTCCTTAGAAATCAAAATATATAGATAAGATTTGGCATCCAACCTTAGCAGCTTTTTTTCTACACGTGAAAATGCCGACAAGTTAAAAAGCTATTTAAGTGCCACAACAACAGGCTGGCCGCAAAAAATTTTTACATTTTCTAAAAGATTAATGTTTGCTTATGCCACCATAAAAAACTTACGATCGTGGAGCTATCTACTTTTGAGTTTAGAATTTTTTCAAGTGGGTAATAAATTTGCCTTTGACGAAACGCCAAAATTAGCATTACAATTGCTAAAACGTTCTCCAAATAAAACATTCTTTTTCGAGACTTTTAAAACGGCTAGTTCTTGTTAAGATGAGTATCTAATAGCATGCAGAAGGATTTAGTTTTATGTGTATTCATTGATGAGATACAAAGCTCCAAAGTTCATTAAAATTTCATTATCGAGATGTGTCAAAATTGCCCTATTTTGGCCCTAAAGTTCACCCCCCTGAAACAAAGCTTAATTACGTCGACATTCCAAATAAAATGCATTTTGGTACTACCCATGGGGTGGGGTTTCTACGCATAAAGTTTGGAAGAAATCCGTGATGTGGTCAAAATTGGACCTGAGGTTATTACAGAGACAGCCTCTTAAACAGAAATAAGAAAAATATAAAAAAATTTAAAGTGGTAAACCGAACATTTGACTAGACATACCTCTAATACAATCTGACGTCAACATCGAAGGACGTCGTCGAGCCGTCAGCCCATCACGTAATACAACAAATGTAGGCGAGCAATCTTCGGGGTCCCACGCATGCTCCTTCATTGTCTTTAAAGTGCCTGAGTCTTCGACGGACATGTCAGACAGAGCTTCTAAGAGGGCACGGGTAAGGAGAGCATCAGCCARCCCCGGGTGGAGACCCTGCCGCTGTCTATTGAATCCAGACTGTTCTGCTCCCATCTTGGACTGATTTRATAAGCTCTGCTTTGATAAAATGCAGAATGAGTTGGTATTGCTTTTCAGACGTACTTGACATTAAAACCGTCCCATAATGCCATGCAAATGGATACAAGTAAGCCAGGCTGGCGAACATTATTATACATACAAATATCTCAGAATACGGTGAAACGCCTTCCAAAATAAAATGAACTTTTCCAAAATAGGATTTTTCATAACAATCACAAATTTTTCGACTGTACTATTTATTAAAAGACACATTTTTGTTGGATTCCACCGAACATTTCAACAATACTTTAAAAAGATTGATGATTCAACTGCATCGCTTGGAATTCGAGGCATTACGAGCCAAGTCATCGTCACATATTTTGAAGTATATACATTTTATTCATTTCGTCCTTACTCAAAAAAAAGAGATTTAAAAAAGGTATTTATAAACTGCATTATATTTAACGAAATAAATTATTTGAATCCAATAACCCAACAAGATGCAGGAATCCTGCAACTTAGAAGCCAACAAGATGCAGGAATCCTGCAACTTAGAAGCCAACAAGATGCAGGAATCCTGCAACTTAGAAGCCAACAAGATGCAGGAATCCTGCAACTTAGAAGCCAACAAGATGCAGGAATCCTGCAACTTAGAAGCCAACAAGATGCAGGAATCCTGCAACTTAGA